ACATTAAACTTAAATGAAACGTCTCGCTTTGGTCTACGCTGGAAGTGTTCTGCTCGCTCTGCTAAAGCTAAACTATAATTACTAAAACTGAAACTAAATAAAATAAAAACTATATAGAAATGTGTTTGCAAAATAAAAACTAAATAAAAAAACTAACAAAACCATTAATGAAACTAGCTAAAACTAAACTGAAATTTAAAACAAAATTGAAAACGATATTAAAATAAAAACTAATTTAAAAAAGCAAAACTATAACAACAGATATTCCCGGCGGAGACAGAGCACACCCGAAGACGGCTCTCACTCAGAAATCAATAAGGTCTTCATTCGCTGCCGGTTCACATTATGACAAGACGAGCAAAAAGTGGAAAGACATAACAAGTGCATTCAGGCCTACCTCATGTTGCACGTTTGCACTTTTTGAAAAAAAAAAAAGTCCAATGAAATGCCTCACCTTTTTCTAGTTATCTAGTGTTAAAATACATATTTTGCCTGTAATTTAACTAAGGTGTACTAAAATGTGATTCCAATTTTTTTTCCCTCATATCGCGATATAATATCGATATCGTCCGGACAGTGAAAAATATCGTGATATGAATTTTTGCTCATATCGCCCACCCCTAGTTCCATCAGGATGAGTCAAATAGCTAGGTTGCCCCACTTCCGTTCCATAGCCCACGGCAACGCCTCCCTAATAACAAGGCTCAGTCCAGCAACCGGCTCACTTTACTGACTCGCAAGCTTAAAAAACACCCTGAGGTAAAGGAGCACTTTGTTGATTTTATGCATAAGATACTTGAGAATGGGCATGCAGAATTGGCACCACGATTACAGAATGATGAAGAGTGCTGGTATCTGCCAATGTTCAGGGTGTACCATCCACCTTACTGATGTCCTCCTTACTGGCCCTAATGTAGTCTCTTGGGGGTTCTACTGTGGTTCAGGAAGGAACGCGTGGCAGTGATGGCTGATATTCAGCAAATGTTTCATTCCTTCGTGGTCACAAAAGAGCATCGGAACTTTCCACGCTTCCTTTGGTATGACAACAACGACTTAAACCACAAGGTATTGGGGTACTAGGTGCGAGTACATGTTTTTGGTAATAGCCCGTCACCAGCAGTTGCCATATATGGGCTCAGGAGAGCTGCCTTCTCAGTTGAAAAAGACTATGGACCAGAGTGGCAAGGCACTTTGTGGAAAGGAACTTTTATGTGGATGATGGCCTTACTTCGCTCCCCACAGAAGAGAAAGCCATCAAGCTGCTCAAGGCCACCCAGGAAATGCTGGCTCTGTCTAATCTACATCTTCACAAGATTGCCTCCAACAAAGTGGAAGTCATTAAATCATTTCCTCCAGAGGACCTTGCAAAGGAGTTAAATTATCTAGATCTGAGCACTGGCCTCCCACCAGTTCACAGAAGTTTGGGCGTGAGCTGGGATTTGTCTGAGGATATGTTCATTTTCCAGGTTTCAGACCAGGTGAGACCTTCTGTCAACGATTAACAGTTTGTTTGACCCACTTGGGCTGGCTGCACCTGTCGTCCTTCAGGGAAGACTTCTGCTCAGAGCGCTTACCACAGGGTCTTGTGACTGGGATGCCCCTCTGCCTGATGTCAAAAGTATGTAAAAATTTTCCACACATATGCTACTATCTCTTTCTGTCAAACACAAGGCAAAGAGATGTGTGTCTTCTGTGATGCTTCCACAAGTGCTATTGCAGCTGTTGCTTACATCAGGGTTACCAAAATGAGCGGTAATGTAGAAGTTGGCTTCATGTTTGGTAAGGCTAAACTAGCTCCACGACCTGAGATCTCTGTCCCCAGACTTGAGCTGTGTGCAGCTGTTCTAGCTGTGGAAATAGCTGAAACTATTGAAGATGAGATTGACACCAAGCTGGATGCTATAACATTCTATTCTGACAGTAAGGTCGTCTTAGGCTACATTTGTAATGAATCCAGGAAATTCTGTGTATGTCAACAACAGAGTGCAAAAAATACGGAAATCTACACGCCCTGGGCAGTGGAAATACGTACCTACCGATCAAAACCCTGCCGACCATGCCACAAGATCAGTTTCGGCAGCTAACCTTCCCTGTAGCATGTGGTTGACTGGTCCAACATTCTTGACAAAAACAAGACCGTCTGAAACTCACATGGGTCTCTTCAGTAACATAGACCCAGATGTAGACACTGAAGTACGTCCCCAAGTCACTTCTTGTGCTACACATACTTCAAGAAAGGAATTAAACCCTGAACGGTTTGAAAGATTCTCAAGCTGGCGATCACTGACTCATGCAATAGCAAGACTTGTGCACATAACCCACTCCTTCAAGCAGGATAGTAACAAGAGTACTTGCAGGGGCTGGCATATATGTGACATGCCCTGTTCAGTTCAAGATCTAGAAAAGGCCAAGTCTGTTTTCATCCACAGCGTGCAAACAGAAGCCTTAAAAAACTTTGCTGTAAATTGTGTTATGGTAAACGTTATTTACAATGATTTTATGAATTCACACTTACCTTCATCTGATGTAAATCTCACAGAAAATAATAATTCTTTATTTTCTTCATTCTTAAGTTTTTTGCTGCCAAATGAGCATTAAACAGACCTGTTTCATTTTTGATGCCAAAACTTGCTATTTTAAGTAATGTTAAGTTATGATAACTTGATTTCTTTATTAATGACAACATTGGGGTTTACAGAGAGAAATCGCAACATAGTGTCGGCCCAGATGTGGTACACATGGAGTCCACACAGCCCAGATGTGGACCGGATCTGGGCCGCCACCATGTTGCTGTCTGGGGAATCATAAGAAAACACTCTCAATACAAAGCGCCAACAGCATCTCTCTTCCGCATCAGCATCCACGCTGTATTTCAAAGGACGCTTTTCTCTCCTCTGGGATTGGCAAGGAGAGAAAAGCGTGTTCATGTTCATGTTCAATGAAGGCAGAGCTGCACCTGAGAGAGAGAGAGAGGGATAGAAAAGACGAGAGAGACGCACATACACATGCATATACATCCCCACACACAGGCTCAGACTTAAAATGTGGGTTTACCTTATATTGATTACATGGCTACTCAAGGAAATGTGTTAATTACTTAAGTCACTCAATTCGCACAAGTTTGTTTCTTTGTAACATAAATTCTACACTCAATGCAAGATGCAATGAATGACAATAATTGTGCATCACTACTTAACAGCCAAATTCCATGATCACTGAATTTACACTTATGGGCTTGATATGAAGGCCAAAGTGTAAATTCAGTAATCATTGAATTGTTTCTAAACGACGATTTGCACCTGGATAATCTCGAGTGATTGTAAGTGTGATGATCATCTGCTAGGTTTTAAACCAGGGTTTAACATCAGGGGCAAACTAGGCCAAAATAACAAACAAAATATTTTTATCAACCTTATTTTCCTAAAAACAAAATAAACTTAGCTTCCTCCCTAAACCAAAAACAGTGTGAAAAAATATGTACAAAATTAAATGGCGTCAAACCTCCTACATCCCTTAATTTGGCAAAAGTTATAAATCATAATATTTACACTATATATATATATATATATATATATATATATATATATATATATATATATATATATATATATCATTGATTATTGATCAAATTTACGAATTTAAAATGAAAGTTGAAGCATACTGTTACCCTAGGGCTGATCAAATCAAATCATTTACACTGAAAAATTACAATTGCATAAAATAATGTTATGAAATTTATTTAAATGTACAAATAAGAAACATATAGGAAAGAAGTATACTAGGCTACTTATAAACATAACACTAAACTACCAATAGGTGGCGACAGGCGGCCGTATTAATGAGTGAGTCATTGATTCATTAATTCAAACGATTCGTTTAAATTGTTGATTCATTCAAGAATGAGACGGATGTTAATGAATGGGTCATTGAATCTTTGACTCAACCGATTCGGTCAAAATGCTGAATCGCTAACACAGATTTAGACAGATTTATGAACAATATTTGAGAGAAATAGGCCTTTTGTCTACATAGAAAAAGTCTTAGATCTTTGAGTTCAGCTCATGAAAAATGGGGGCAAAAACAAAAGTGTTGCGTTTATAATTTTGTTCAGTATATTTCAAGTGTAACCATAACCAGACGTTCTCATCAAACCTTTTCAATTACAATTGATGTGTTAATTATTTTTGATTCAGTGCCTATTGCAATACAATATAGTCACACTAGCAACGCTCTCCCACATATTTTGGTATTATAATCGAGCTTTTCTTCATTGTTGGTAACAGATGGTGGTAATAGAGAAGAAATGTCTTGCTTTCCTGTAGCTCAAACAGTTGAGCGTTGGTGCTTGCAACGCCAAGGTCATGGGTTCGATTCCCAAGGAAAGCAAGACCTAATAAGAATGTAAATGCGTACCTTGAAATGCAATGTAAGTCGCTTTGGATAAAAGCGTCTGCCAAATGCATAAAAGTAAAAAGTAAATGTAGTTTTACATCATCATGCTGATAACGTTTCTTTAGACATTCAGCAATCCTGCAGCGTGAACCACTGTAGGAAATCTACCCTTAAAAAAAAAATGGAGAATCAATAAAATGAATAAGTGTTTACTTAATCATTGACCAATAATAAAAGTTAGTTAATTCCTTTACCACTAGATGCTGCAAACAGTGCATTTTATTTTCATAACCAATTCCCATTGTTAATGTCTGCTTATATGAATTGAAATACATATGGTGCAGTTTTAGTTTTATTAGCTTTCCTGTAGCTCAAACAGTAGAATATGACACTAGCAAAGCCAATGTCATGGGTTTGAATCCCAGGGAATGCATTAACTAATATCATCATGTGAACCTTTAATGCAATGCAAGTCTCTTTGGATAAAAGCACCTGTTGAATACATAACTGCAAATATAAAGTATGATTTATTACTACACACTTGGTAAATGTTGCACTATGTATAACCCCTTGATTGTGAGTACATTTATCCATTAAGTCACACAAGTTCTGTTCCGTTCCTTTTTATTTCTTTGTCTCAAAATGTACAGATCATTTCTCAAAATGCAAGAAAGTCTTTTCAACATGTTCTCAATGCATCATTTCTATTTGTGATAAAGCACAATTAATGAAAATAATTGAAATCTGCATAAATCACAGTATTTTACTGCAACACTAGTTTCATGAACTTTTACTGACCCTGCAAAAATTTCATTTGACAAATGATCAAACTTCATAACTGATTTTTGAAAATTACCCTTAGATTAAACTAATTCTGAACATGTACATTTGCTAATTTAGGCAACATCAGGCAATGCTTTTTCTTATGATTCTGTAGATTAGATAATTGGGTGAAGTTCTTCCCACATGAAGAGCACTGGTACGGTTTCTCTCCAGTATGAATTCTCTCATGATCTTTCAGGTTTCCTGACAGAGTGAAACTCTTTCCACAGTGTGAACACTTGTACGGTTTCTCTCCAGTATGAACTCTCTGGTGTGTTTTTAAGTGGCTGGATGTAATAAAGGTCTTCCCACAGTCAAAGCACATATAAGGTCTCACACCAGTATGAATACTCTCATGCTCTTTTAAATTTTCCAGTCGTGAAAAACACTTTCCACAAAAAGAACAAAAGTGAGGCTTCACACCAGCATGAACTTTAAGGTGTCTTCTTAAGTTTTGTTCAAAACCAAATGTTTTATCACACTGATCACAGCTGAATGATCTCACTCCAGAGTGAGTGTGCAGATGATCTTCAAGAGTACGTTTGCTCCCGAAACTCTTTCCACACTGAGAGCATGTGAACGGTTTTTCTCCAGTGTGAATTCTCATGTGTTTCTTAAGGTTTGATGTATTTGTGAAACTCTTTCCACACTCAGAACAGGTTAAAGATCCTTTGACTCCAGTTTTTCCAGCACTTTTCTGCATGAAATTCTTTTCAGTCTGTGAAATGACTGCGTTTCCATCTTCATTTGTGAAATGAGGTCTTCGAAACTCATGTTTCAAAACATTCACATCCATACGATCTAAAAATGAATCCCCATAATTAAAAAAAGGACAAGTTAGAAACAAGAAATACGTTAGAAAATTAAATATGATACCAAAATTTTAGGAGTCAGTACCAATACCAGTAAATAAATTAAATTAGTTAATTATTATCAAAAGACAAAATGTCACCATTTTGGTGTTCGCATCAAATTAAATTGACAAGTCATTTTATATACATAAAAATACGGAACCGTATTGCATTCACTTGGGGAAAAGAAATTCGACTGTTTTTCTGAATTAACGAGTTAATTATCTCAAAATTATGAGAAATTTTTCTTGAAAAACATTTTTTTCATTTTGTTTTTATGAATTAATGAGTTACTCATAATTTTGAGATAATTAAGTCATTAATTCAGAAAAACAGAGCAAAAACTTTTTTCCATGAAAAATTCTCGTAATTCTGAGATAATTAACTCGTTAATTCAGAAAAAGAGAGCAAAAAAAATTTCCATGAAAAATTCTCGTAATTCTGAGATAATTAACTCGTTAATTCAGAAAACAGATTTTTTTCCCTCAAGTGAATGCAATACGCTTCCGTATAAAAACATGTTAAATGCAAGTTAAGTTATAATTAACCCATTTATATTTGTGAATAAAATTATTTTAAATTATAAATGGCTTAATTACAAAAACTAAAAGACACTCCCTTTTATAAACAGTGAAGTTGAAACTTCAGCTCAGCCGCAACAGAATCTCTGACCGAGTGAAAACGGCAGTATAATCAAAATATCTGTCTATATCACACAATGCATGTCTTAATTTCATAGTGTTTTTACTTTGTTGGTTAAAACGAAATGATTTTGCATGCAGAGCTCAATCACAAACTCTGGTGTATTGACCTTATTCATTGCAGTGCCATCTTTGATTTATATATGACATTCATCTCTTCAGTGGGTTGTACTGTTATTTCATGTGTTTTTCGATTGTTCTGCTGACCAAACACTACAAAAATATCTTTATGACAATATGACTGTTTGCTAGAATGCGCGTTCTGCGCCAGCGTGTAAATGAGGCAACTGTCTATTTCTGCAGATATATTCGTCTATATTCGTCATTCAAAAAAGGGAAACCAACGCTGCCGGCTGCAGATACACCTATCGTAAACAAAGCAGTGCGTGCTTACCGTTTTGAATATCAATCCTGTTAAACACTTTTTTTCCACTCCGCTCATGTTAATATTGAAATATTCGCCAAGGAATATTTTCTATCCTTCTATCTGTACCGTTTTGACTTCTTTGCTCGCTGTTTTGCTATTATTCTCGTGCACTGACTCGTTCACTAAGCTGAACAGCCAATCAGAGTTTCCTCTTTCACTGGCGTTCCGAAAAAAAGCCGACGAGGACCAATTTCAGCCGACGGTGCGGAAAACACAGAGAAAACTTAGTCGGCCGACGCACAAAAACTGCCCGACAGCCGACCGTCGGCTTGGTGTGTTTCAGGCTTAAAGGGACATTGTGTAGGAATTTCTTAGCCTGGGAAAACCCAGACAACTTCCGGCAAATTTAGATTTGCTCTGCAAGTTAGTCTGGCAAAGAGCTCATTCAAGCCCATTTCCAATCCGTCAAAATCGCGGCACCAATCAGAAACGTTGGGGCGGGCTTTACACGATGACGACAGCACAGCGATGGTGAAGCAGATTTTGTACATTTACAAAGATGGATGCCGCCGTAGAACTAGGGGTGTGACGGTTATAGTTGAACACCGTCATTAGAACTCTATAACCGCCAAAACCATGTTATTAAAATATTTTTTTCACAAACATTTTTTATCATAGAGAATGTTTAAATACTAATATCAGCTTACGAGGGAAACGGAGGCGGAGTTAGTGGTGCTTCGGAGGCTGCTACTGCTGGAGATGATTCGGGAGAGGTCTGTGCACCCCCTCCCAAGAAGAGAAATATTAGAGATCTCCTTACAAGGCTTGCTGACACGGAGTAAAGCCTTGTTTATACAAAAATGACGCGTTCGGTGCGCAAGACCCCATTTCGCTTGGCTGTGTACACGGCTTTTTTTTGTAACAGCGCGCGTGGCGCCGCGTCCGAGGATGACCGACTTCAAGCCGAATCTGCCCGAGCATGTGCGTCTAAATTGCAAAGTTCATTGCAAAGTTTTTTTTGTTAAGGTGTACTGTGTGTGATTTATTTAATGGAAAGCACATTCACTTCTAGTTGTCTTGCTGTTAATTTTAAATAAACGTAGAGCAAGTAGCTAATCAGTGTCTGCTCGTTTATTCAAACTAAGGTGTTCTATAACAGACGAACGTCGCTCTGCATACGTCATCTTCTTCATCGCTCTGATTGGTTGAGCTACGTCCGTTGGTGACGCCCCTTTGGAAAGGATTTGTCTATGAAGCTTTGCCAGACCATAACTCAGTTACAACTGAGAATGGTCTGGTTTTAACCAGGATAGGAATTTCTCCCATCTAGCGGTGAAATTGTATTTTGCATTTAAACGAATTGTGCTCTCCAGCGCCTCGCTTTTAAAAATGCGCGTTGCATCTACGGTAGCCTTTAAGTACCAAAAAGCTATGACAGGATGTCTTCAAATAGCACTTCGTCGAGTTCCTTCCTTCCTCCAGGTTTGTTATATATTAACTCTTGCTTTTTGTAATCTCCGGTCACGTTTCCTTTTACGTTCCATTTTGGAAATTTTTGGCGACGAGGATTTCTTCTCCTGTAGCTCGGCATATGTCTGGAAATAACAGTGCAATGCAGCCTTTTAAACTTGCCGGGGCAGTGAAGCGTCACGCTGGCTCTGAACGAAAACGCGTTGTGGAAAGGCGTTGGCCAAGTACTTTTTGTCCCTCTCTACTATTATAGTTTTTCAAGATGGCGGAACTACATGGAAGCCTCTGTGGACCTACCCGTCCCATGTATATAAAGATAATAAATTCTTTGTTTACAAGGATAAGTCAGATAATTGGCATAGGTATTTGTACACCATTGAGGACATTTATGAATATTGGGTCTCATTCATGTAACTCGAGCAGAACGAATTTGTGTAAATCGTGTGTAAAGTGGTTCTGGCGTAAATGTTCGGATTTATTAAAATGTTCGTATTTTCCAAATGTTAGTTGGTACGATAGAAATCTACACCTGCTCCCAGCCACGCGTAAATAGTGAGTTTGACATCCGAACGTTTTGCTCATTAATAACTAAGGCTGCATTTTAATTCACCTTAATCGGGTACATATTTACACAGCATTTTGAAAAAATATTATATATAGTAATTACATACGGTTTTTCTTTTTACTTCTGGGACTGTTTGATTAACATATGAAACTCCATTAACTGCATCTGTAATATGCTGCCAAGCTTGCTTTTCTTTAGTACCTGATACGCCACTATGTAGCCTAAGCTTGAAAATAAAATGTGGTGTTTTGAATGAACTTCTGATAATAAAACTTCCGATTTCTGCATCTGAGAAATTTCTCTTTTTCATTCGTTTTTGAGAAGACATGTTGAAAACCTTCGTTTGGTGTCATAATATGATGCCCATATATAGTTCAGTCGGATTTAATGGGCGGGATTTATGGTAATTGAGAATGAGCGTGCACGCGCGTCCCATTTACGACTGATTGGAATTCATTAACACACACACACATTTCACTATCACATCTGACGTTTACGAAGTATTTGTGAATCAGGAGAGGAGTTTTCGGGAAGGTGTCTTTACGCGCAAATCACTCTTATATTTACTCGTATATTTACGAATGTTTCATGAATGAGACCCACTGATTTTAGATAATAAAATAACTAAAAAAGTACACATTGTCCCTTTAAGAGCTTTATTCAGCGTCTTACAGCAGATGCCTTTGAAAACACGGCAAGTCTTTCTCTCACAGCCTCGCTTTCATACCCGTCGCTGTGCTGCTCTGAATAAGGTCTATTGAGCGGATTCTTAATTTCTGACTAACTTAGGTTAACTCTCATTGGCCATTGTGTTCACATGTTCAGCAAACATGTCTGTGATTGGCTACAACACTCAACGCTGCAAAACAATTGTAAATAGAAACATTTTACGCTCTTCACAGACACTCACACAAATACACACGGGGGTTACGTTTTTAAAATGTAAGTAAAATATATGTGAGTTTTCATCGTAATGTTCCTCATCAGTCATTACAGAGAATGAAGGAAAACACCAACCTATTTGTTCCTCTGTATCTTCATCTTTTATTCTGCAGGGTTCTTCCTTAATCTCCATCTTTACAATAGTATGTCCGTAGTTTCTCCTGGAGTAATTCCTCCTGCTTGCTTCTTCTTCTCCTGTGGGAAGATGGGAATATTCCCCAGCATTTAAACTCTCATGAACGGCTGTGGGAGCTTCACTGACTGAAGGAGTGAATTGTGGTCGTTGTTGCTCATTTAGTCAAGTCACCTTCATTTATATAGCGCTTTTAACAATATAGATTGTTTAAAAGCACCTTTACAGTGATAATAGGAAATTAAATTAAGAGATTGTTTTGGCTTTACAGCAGCTCTAGAATAAAGTTATTGTCCAGCTAAAGTTAGTTTTGATTGATTCACTTCCGACACAACCATCATTAGTTATTAACTTAAGGGGCCGCTAACAAGACACCGTTCTAGCAGAAAACCCCTGATGCGATCTGGCCGCTCATTTGCACAAAACAGTGCCTGGTGGCTCGAGAACGTAAACCATGAAATGGGTTCCAAGGTGCAAGAGTTGAAAATTTTATAATACTGAATTTTTTTATCGCTTCCGCGCAGCCACGTGGACCGGAATTATTCAGATGTTTTATCTGTACAGAGGTTAAGGGAAGGGAAGGAGGCCTTCACAGGGGAGGGACTAGTCACTTCTCACACACAGGACTGCGTTGTCGTCGTGTCCAGGCGCAGGTCCTTCGTCAGATCTGGAGTGTGAGTGTGTGTGTGTGTGTGTGTGTGTGAGAGAGAATGTGTCCAGACGCAGGTCCTTCATCAGATCTGGATATGACTTGGATCCGGCGGACTGCGGTAAACCTCGGGATAAACAGAGAGACTAATATTGGCGTAGACGCCATTCTTCTTATGATGTAACAAGTACATCAGGATTTATGGGAAGTGTTCCCGGTTCCGGCTGATCTAGTCTCAGCCTCAGACGTCACGCCCACGGAACGTTGGCTAAACGTCTGATGCATATGGTACACTTAACTGGAAACACTTCAGGAATGTCGAAGTCGTCATCTGATTGGTTGAATTCTATCGGATTTCCGGGGGGCGAGAGTGTCGTGTTTATTTTCGGTCCGCCGGGAAACAAAGCGCAGACGTGTGATTGCGGAAGAAAAACTGTTGTGTTTACATGAGTGACAATGAGCATTTATCAAGATCAGCTAAACGTAGGATTCTCAAAAGTATGCGAGGTTCACGGCATAGACTCTTGAAGTTTTCTTCTCCTTTGATTTTCTATGCTGACTGACTTGTTGCACGCCGGTCTGTTGTTGTGGGGACATTTCCACGCCCCGAAACGTGATGCTGAACGAAACGAACTGTAATTGGTTGTTTGACATGTCGGTCAAACGGCCTTATGGGCGGGCCTTGGCCAAAGAAAGCTGCTATGAATTCCAGACCTTCAGCCGTCAGTCTGAAGGTCTGGCTACGCGAGACTACGGCTGATCTAACCTATGCAGCCTAACATTGAATTATAGAAGTCTATAGTGTGTTATGTGTATGCCAGGTCAACGAGATGTGTTTTTAGTCTAGATTTAAACTGACAGAGTGTGTCTGCTTCCCTGACAATGTTAGGAAGACCGTTCCAAAGTTTTGGTGCTAAATAGGAAAAGGATCTACCGCCTGCAGTCGATTTTGATATTCTAGGTATTATCAACTGGCCGAAATTTTGAGAAGCCAATAGATGTGAAGGACTATAATGCGCTAAGAGCTCGCTCAAGTAATGCGGAGCTAAACCAGTACTTTGGTTTAGCCAAAGTTGGTTTAACCTTGCTAAAACAAGGACGACTTGAGCAGGACTTTTCTCAGTAATACAACTACTCAGTTTGAGGTACTTTATGAGGTTGGAACTGTAATTCCTTACCATCAGCCTTAACAAGTGTACAGTGCATCCGGAAACTATTTACAGTGCTTTACTTTTTCCACATTTTGTTATGTTACAGCCTTATTCCAAAATGGATTAAATTCATTATTTTCCTCAAAATTCTACAAACAACACCTCATAATGACAAAGTGAAAGAAGTTTGTTTGAAATCTTAGCAAATTTATTAAACCAAAAGAAATCACATGTACATAAGTATTCACATCCTTTGCTCAGTACTTTGTTGGAGCACCTTTGGCACCAATTACAGCCTCAAGTCTTTTTGAGTATGATGCTACAAGCTTGGCACACATTTTTTAGGCAGTTTCTCACATTATTCTTTGCAGAACCTCTTAAGCTCCATCAGGTTGGATGGGGAGCGTTGGTGCACAGCCATTTTCAGATCTCTCCAGAGATGGTCCATCGGGTTCAAGTCTGGGCCACTCAAGGACATTCACAGAGTTGGCCCGTAGCCATTCCTTTGTTATCTTGGCTGTGTGCTTAGGGTCGTTGTCCTGTTGGAAGAGGAACCGTCGCCCCAGTCTGAGGTCCAGAGCGCTCTGGAGAAGTTTTTCATCACGTATGTCTCTGTCCATTGCTGCATTAATATTTCCCTCGATCCTGACTAGTCTCCCAGCCTCACTGGTATTGGGATGGTACTGGCCAGGTGATGATGAGCGGTGTCTGGTTTCCTCCAGACATGATGCTTGCCATACAGGCCAAAGAGTTCAATCTTTGTTTCATCAGACCAGAGAATTTAGTTTCTCACGGTCTGAGAGTCCTTCAGGCGCCTTTTGGCAAACTCCAGGTGGGCTGTTGGTCCAAATAAACTGGGAACTGACTGACCCATTTTTCTTGAGCAAGCGTTTTGCGAATCCCACATTGAACTCCGAGATTTGAGAAGCAGTCGTCAGTAAAATGAAGGGAACACTGCAAAAGTTTGGGATTATACTGCTGTGGTATCATGGTAAAGATGAATTTTAACCACTCATCCTCATCCTTTGGAGGTGAAAATAAACCGAATTCTCTTTCACAGCGGAGAGCACAGCGTGTCTTGACGACATGATATCCATACTAACAAGCTACAGCCAGATGTCCTGTCCGAAAATAGATTCGAACTCCAAATGACTCGTTTGGACAGTTTAGAGTCGACTCTTTCCTTTGAGATACAATAACTTTTATTTATGCTGCACTTTCAGCTTCAAAACTTTGCAGACTGTTTACATTCACATACAGCTACATTACACATTGCATGAAAGGTCATTTTCAAAAATCCATAATAGGGGCACTTTAATAAAACATGAAAATATGCTCATTTAGGCAGCGTTAGGCAATGCTTTTTCTTATGATAATTTATATTAGATGATTGGGTGAAACTCTTTCCACATTGTGAGCACTTGTACGGTTTCTCTCCAGTGTGAACTCTCTGGTGTGATTTTAAGTTGCTGGATCTAGTGAAGGTCTTCCCACAGTGAGAGCACACATAAGGTCTCACACCAGTATGAATACGCTCATGCTCTTTTAAAGCCTGCTTTAGTGAAAAACTCTTTCCACAAAACGAACAAACATGAGGCTTCACAGCAGCATGAACTTTAATGTGTTTTCTTAAGCTTGATGCCACAACATATGCTTTATCACACTGATCACAGCTGAATGATCTCAATCCAGAGTGAGTGTGCAGATGATCTTCAAGAGTACTTTTGCTCCCGAAACTCTTTCCACACTGAGAGCATGAGAACGGTCTTTCTCCAGTGTGAATTCTCATGTGTTTTGTAAGGTGTGATTTATTTGTGAAACTCTTTCCACACTCAGAGCAGGTTAAATATCTTTTGAATCTAGTTTTTCCAGCACTTTTCTGCATGAAATTCTTTTCAGTCTGTGAAGTGATTGCGTTTCCATCTTCATTTGTGAAATGAGGTCTTCGAAACTCATGTTTCAAAACATTCACATCCATACGATCTAGAATAAATTCCCATAATTCAAATAAAGGACAAGTTAGATACAAGAAATAAGTTCGAAAATAAAATACACCAAAATTAAGAATCAGTACCAATACCAGTAAATAAGTGAAATTAGTAAATTATTAACAAAGACAAGACGAATCCGAATCAAATTATATTGACAAAAGTCATTGTATATAAATAAAAACATGTTAAATGCAAGTAAATGAACTCATTCATATTTTGAATAAGATTAATTTCAATTATAAATGGGTTAATGATATAGGCTAAAACTAAAGTTTGCGGGTTAATGATATAGGCTAAAACTAAAGTTTGCTTCCTCCTTTTATAAAAAGTGAAGTTGAAACTTCAGCTTAGCCGCAGCACAATCTCTCTGACTGAGTGAAAACGGCTGTTATAGTCAGAACATCTGTCACACAATGAATGTTTTAATTACATGGTGTTCAGGAATGTGATTGTGCGAGTGAAAAAAGCAGGACTTTTTTTTTAAGACCCAACGTGAAACACTTTTTGCTTTTAAACACATGAATTTACTGCATGAACTATCAGGAACTGTGAAGAGTAACACATGTAAATATATTTAACTGCTATAATTTATTTATCTTTGGGGAAACCGTAAGGGCGATAAGTGCAATTATGTAGTTCTGTAAATAAAACAAATGTGCTTCAAATACCGATCAATCTCATTCAACATTCAGGGATTGAAATTAACACCCTCCAACCGGACAAATGCGGGTAAAAATGAACTTTGGCGGGAAACGCTGTCAAATCACGAGCCAATCTGGCGTGTTTCTATGTTTACTCACTTTCTTTGCTGGGGAAGTTCGTGTAAGCCAAATCTGCACGGATTTAGTGCAAATACGCAACTCGTGAGTCCTCATGATATATTAAATACAGCATATTGCGCAGAATCTGCGCATTTCTGGCTTACTTGAACACACACGTCACTACGCAACAAATAACGGGGCGCTTGTTCACTTGCATTGAAGTAATAGCGAATATTAAAAAGCATTTGGTTAACAGAAAAGACATTGTTATTTTCCAACATCCTCAATGTTCTGTGTACTGTATTGATCTGTCCACCTAAAACACATTTTTGGTAAATCGTTGCACATCGTTAAAATCGATTCCCTATTTTCGTTTTCGAAACTTTTTTGGTTGGTCCGATCGATTGTGCAATCGATTTTCGAACGTAAAGTGACAGCCCTAATGACTAATCTGAATGCCTCTGTTTGGTCATCACACCCATAAACTCAAGTGTGCAATTGGTTATAATGCTCAACGCTGCAAAACTAAATCTAATGGAAATGGTGCAGTCGGATGGATCGAATGAACATTAAGTATTGTAGTTTGTTTAACTAATTTTATCCCTTAAACATATTTGATTATATAAATATTTTTGAAATATTTACCATGACTTTTCCAAAACTTCCAAAACCTCACGAGGGCAGGTGGGTTCAAGTCACTTTCTCTCAATTAATTACACAAAAATACAGTAAGGTTCTTACACTTGAAAATGAAGACCAAAGAAATGTGCAGCAGGTGTAATTTGTTTTTTTAAATGTTTATAATTAATTTATGTAGCCACTGCAAACTTTATCGTTACATATTACATTGTTATATTATAATGCCATCATATTCTGTGCAGGCAATTAGCTTACTTTGCTGTAAATAGAAAAGCCAGACAATATCACTGCTAAATACCTTTAAGTATTGTGGTATTCAGCCATGTTTCTCACTGACACGCACACAACTCTTTTCGGACTCAAGATCAGGGCTTAAAGAAAGTCCTGAGCTTCCCACTCGTATTTACGACAATGTGGTGGCGTTCATGTGCGTTCAACACGTAATAACGATCTTTACGAGATGACTTAAACGCACTCTGATTGGCCATTGCATTCACATGCTCAGCAAACATGTCTGTGATTGGCTACAACACTCAACGCTGCAAAAACAATTGTAATAGAAACATTTTACGCTCTTCACAGACACTCACACAAATACACACGGGTGTTACGTTTTTAAAATGCAAGTAGGTCTACGAAGTTTCGGATGTATTGATATATGTCAGTTTTCATCTTAATGTTCCTCATCAGTCATTAAAGAGAATGAAGGAAAACACCAACCTATTTGTTCCTCTGTATCTTCATCTTTTATTCTGCAGGGTTCTTCCTTAATCTCCATCTCTACAATAGTATGTCCATAGTTTCTCCTGGAGTAATTCCTCCTGCTTGCTTCTTCTTCTCCTGTGGGAAGATGGGAATATTCCCCAGCATTTAGCAGATGATCATCACACTTACAATCATTAAATTATATTCTCTGAATAATATTCAGCTTAAAGTGTTTTGATAAAAACAACTGTTTAGAAACAATTCGACTTCTCTAGTTGATTGTAATTAGGGCTGCAACAACTAATCGATAAAATCGATAATCGATTATGAAAATCGTTGTCAGCGAATGTCATTATCGATTAGTTGGTCTGCTTACGTCACGGTGAGCGTTTACTGGTGATTGGTTGAAACAGGCCAATCAGGATGCTCTCTGTTTTACACGCGCTTCCTGAGGCACATACGCAAGGTCTCTCTCCCTCCGTTGCTCTGCCGCACGCGCGCGCTACACGGTTTGGAGCACAGTCTCTTCTGTCTCGCATGCGCGCTCAAATCCCGGGAGTTTGAACTAATTTGCGGGCATCAGGGAGCCGCATAAGCCGCTATCAATATGCGGGTGACTCCCAGAACTTCCGGGACACTTGGGATGTCTGTATTTTGTCTCGAGCATCAGGTTGCGCAATCAGTTTGCTCGCAACATAAGTGAAGGATTAAAATAGCGCTACCGCAGAAATAGGTTAAATTAAAACGGTCTTTACAAAGCGAAGCACTAAATATAAAGGCAGTTAATAACAGCAGCAGTAAAAGATTGTTTTAGTCACTCACTGTACTCAATGGTTTTCAGCGAATGCTTGTGCACTAATGCATCATTTTTCCTGTCTTTTTAATCAAGCCTGTTAGCTTGCTGCGTACCTCCATTACGTTCTCTATTTACTGCATTTGTCTATTAAGTTTTAATTGTTTTTCAAACGCGATCTACTGCGGCTCTACGTTCACACGCTTGTTTTCAGTCTTTCTTTCTTTATTTTATCAATGTATCCTTATAATTCAATTAATTTTAAATAAAAATTAAATGAATTATATATTTGAGATGTTTTTAGTTTATATCTTCACATCTGAACAACATGTCTGTGTAAATTTGTTTTAACAAAAATTGTGTTAAAACAATATGTTGATATAAATGTTTTTTTTTACATTAATCATGGTTGTCAACTTGCCATCAGCAATTATCATTAAAAACAATGCAAATATTGATATTACTAAAACTAAAAATGTGTGGCTTTTGCACTTTTTAAAGTACACTTTTACACATAAATATCCTAATTTAGGGTTTTAGGTAACACTTTATTTTACGGTGTCCTTGTTACATATGTTACATGTACTTACTGTAGTAATAACAGTAAATTATGCATAATTACATGCAACTAACCCTCAACCAAATCCTTATCATACCCTATTCCTATAAGTACATGTAGTTACTTAATATTACTCTGTACTTAAATATATAATTACACTGTAACAAGGACACCTTAAAATAAAGTGTAACCGGGTTTTATTTAGTGAATTAACAAAAAAATCTAATTGAATTTTTTTTCCCGATTAATCGAAAAAATAATCGCCCGATTAATCGATTATCAAAATAATCGTTAGTTGCAGCCCTAATTGTAATGTTGCTCTTTCATCAAATATGATGTACATGCATTCAAAATTCTGTTTACAATGATTAATTTAACCATTAATTAAAATAACAACTAATAATCTTCACAAATTGTAATGTGAAAAAAGTCAGTAACAAGTTCACGTAACACGAGCATAATGAACAACATCAGTCGGTTCATCTCGATTCATTTCTGAGTGATTCACTAAATGAACCGACTCGTTTATTCGTTTGGATTTGTATTTCACCTTATAAATAATAAAATTAATGTATCGGGGCCAAGCGCAAAGACAACCAACCATGCCAACATGTCTGGGAGTGTCAGACCAACTGCAACAATGAGCAATTAAAGACATGATGTTTCTCCGCCGCTCTGCATACGTCATCTCCTTCATCGCTCTGATTGGGTTTAGGTCTATCCGCGACGTCCGTTGGTGACGGCCCTCTGGAAATGATTTGTCTATGACGCTTTGCCAGACCATAACTCAGTTACAACTGAGAATGGTCTGGTTTTAACCAGGCTAGCGCAACACTATTTATAGGCAAGATTTTCGTGCTAGAACTCTTTTTTTTTTTAGCGGGAATGCAAATTAGATTAGCACTTAACCACACCACACAAATGGCTTTTAATTGGTGAATTTAGTTAGCAAACATGTCACTATAATTGTTAAGTTCTTTCCATCGATCAATTTATTACTTTCACATTTGAAAGATTCCATGAGGTTAACGTATAAAGTTTTAAAAAAGACCAAGCATTCGATCTACGTCAGAGCATCCACGAATCTTTCCACGGCGTCGTTGGCAGGAAAATTAGCTCTCGCCAGCGGCGGTGTGAACGCACAGCTAGTGTTCCTCAGTAGTCTTTAAAGAATCGCTATTATGCTTTTTCAAATATTACCTTCCATGCAGTGTGTAATATAGCTGTCTGTGAATGCAAGTCAAAAGTGCACAATAAAAAATAAAAAGAGGCAAAAAAAAAACTAACACTGACACCTCATGGAGTTTGTTTTGACACATGATGCTGCACAGAGCTGGACACTTCAGATGTGGATTTAAAACAGACAATAAAACAGTGTGTTATACAGTACATTACTGTACGGGTTTTCATATCATTATGAAGTAATTAATTTGTTGACTAGATGCTGCATTAGAGGAGAACAGCAGTATGTTTGCCGTTGAGGCTGAGAGGACGCTATTTAGTACCGTATTTTCCGCACTATACGGCGCACCGGATTATAAGGCGCACCTTCAATTAATTACCTATTTTAGAACATTTTTCATATATAGGGCGCACCGGATTAGCGCATAAGATACTGCAGTCAAACGTTTGACTGGGTTTGCATTATGCATCCACTAGATGTCAACAAATGTCAACAAAACAGTCAGATAAAGTCAAACTTTATTAAGCGTTCTGACAACTCCGTTCACTCCCATGGTAACGTTGTTCAAACGTTAAAGGAGAACTCCGGTCAATTTTAACATTGAGCTCATTTTTTGTAAATTTGGAGTGCTGTCAGTACAGATAACAACGACAAAAACCGGTGTTGCCTACACAGTGTTATCCTCTTTTTAAAATTTGCACTTTTGGTGACTTAAACGGGGCAAGTTTTAAACCTGCTTTTAGCCTCTTAACAACCTTAATGTGTCATTACAAGTGCACAGCCATGTGAGTGAACACGGTGAATCTGACTGCGGTAAATGTGAAAGATATGAATAAAAATGATGTTTATTCAGCCAGCTCACATACCCGTATTTTCTTCCTGTTTTCGGTCGAAGTCCACCGTAGGCGATTGTCGAGTGCGCGATCATTGGTAACTAAGCAACAGTGGAGACTCAGACTGTCAGCTGTCAGCCGATGACGGTGCTGTGTGGTGTTCTGAGAATATCAGCTCAAATGGATAGTTCATCCGAATCAGATAAACCATAGACATGTCTATGAGATAAACTATCCACTTGAGGTTTGATCGCGCGCGCGCGAACTCGACAATCAACTACTGTGGACTTCGGCCGAAAACAGGGCTGTCGTTTTTTGAGAAAATTAAAGGCTTTTAAGTGCGCCTTATAGTGCGGAAAATACGGTACCTCAAGTGGTTAAAGTGACAAAAACACACGCAAGTCCGACCCATATGTTTAATGTCACGATTGTTACCATCTATTTGCATTAGTTGGCTTTTATGGATTCGTTATGCAGCGAAGTTACATATTTAAAGCTAGTGATGTGAGAAAGCAAACTGTATCGTCATGCAGTCGACAGAAACATATAAACAAATCAGAAACGCATTTGATTTCAGTTACTTTATTGTCACTGTAACACATATTTTTGTAATTTTGATAAGATAATCAAGTGTTCTAAAATAAAAGCAAATAAAGTGTGAGTATAAATAAAATATACATACGTGTTTATCAATAATATGGTGTTTGTGTAGATATTTAAAGATGGCCATCTATTGGTCAACCTCTAGTTCTAACTTTGAGTAATGATAAAAATGGAGAAAGATTTGTTTGTACAAACTTTAATGTTACATCAGTCATTCACGTTAGTGCTCGACTAATGTATGCGCTGTTATTGATACAGTTCCTGCATGTGCACCGCAATAAATTAGAAATATATGGTTTGTTGATAAACATACACTTCTAAATGCTGATGGTGAAGAATTACAGTTCCAACCTCATAATGTCCCTCAAACTGAGTAACGCATCACTGAGAAAAGTCCTGCTCAAGTCGTCCTTGCAATGAAGGTTTGGGTTAAACAACTAGTTGTTCCAATGTTTTATCATCAGACTTGCACTCGGATTGATATGGTAAAATCACCACCATTATTACTTACAGTGTGTACAATCACTGAGCTTTAGGAAGCCTCCGGAGCTGAGGTTCAGTTATGGCAATGTGCATTTCTTTTCAGATATCCGCTGTAAGAGGTAGACCAATCACAACAGACTGGGCCATCTGACCAATCAGAGCAGAGTAGATTGCGGAAAGGAGGGATTTAGAGAGACTTAATAATCGGACGAGTCGTTTGAGAATAATGTGAAAAATGTGGTGATGATGTGCAATGCATATTATGAGAAAATAAGTTTTATTTTTTATTTTTACCTTTGATGCATGTAAACCTATTGTAAGAGACTCCAAAACACAATTCGGAGCCTTTAAAATAGTATAATAGGGGCACTATAACAGAATGAAGGAAAACACCAACCTATTTGTTCCTCTGTATCTTCATCTTTTATTCTGCAGGGTTCTTCCTCAATCTCCATCTTTACAATAGTATGTCCGTAGTTTCTCCTGGAGTAATTCCTCCTGCTTGCTTCTTCTTCTCCTGTGGGAAGATGGGAATATTCCCCAGCATTTAGCAGATGATCATCATACTTACAATCACTGAATTATATTCTCTGAATAATATTCAGCTTAAAGTGTTTTGATCAAACAACTATTTAGAAAAAATCGACTTCTCTAGTTTATTTTTACGTTGCTCTTTCATCTAAAACTCATTTTACCATGATTCATGTGTTCATTAAATACAATTAAAACACAAATCATAATCTTTACAAATTGTAATGTGATGTAAACTCGTTACTGACTGTTTTTTGTTTCACGAGCGTAGTGAACAACATCAGTCGGTTCATCTCTATTCATTTCTGGGTAACTGTTAACGTTAATTTACTAAATGAACGGACTCGTTTAGTCGTTTGGATTTAGATTTCTCCAAATAAATGATCAAATGAATGTACTTACAGTCTGTAAAACAGCAGATTTAGAGCAGAATGAACGGCTGTGTTCCACTTCTCACGTTTATGTTCCCTTCCCTCGCTCACTTCTCTTCTTCTCCTAGACTCGGATGTGTGTCATTGCTTCGGTTGCTCGAGCGCCTCTACTGGGGGAAACCATATTAAACTACATTACCTTCATAGATTAAGATATTTATGTTATCTTGGCTGATATTATACAAACACAATTTATCTCGCCACGTGTGTTCGATTTAGGATAATATATATGTAATAATAAAACATTTAAATATTATTTTTGAAATATTATTTATTTGTTACCAAGTTGATAACTATATATAAAATATATTATTATTATGATATTTAGATGCTTCCCTATTATTGATATGCCTGGAGTTAATGAAGACGGGAAGAACTTTCAAATTCAAATTTGTTTACTTGATCTATACAATCACTACATCAATTAACGGTATTCAGTGAGTGGACTACTTGCACAACTACTTCCACGTTCTAGTTAGTACATATCAGGAGTTTCCGGTTAGAGCGGTCAAGCGCACATACATACATGAGAATGCAGATTATCACTATGTTTTATGGCTGCCAGTTGATTAAAACAATGAATAATGATCTCTGTATTAATTATTTTGAGCCTGCTGAAATCTTCCTATAAATATGTTCTTTCCAACTGTGCATTGATTTTTTTTCTCTTTTTGACATTTCATACCTGTTGGGTTTACATTTTTAAATGGAATTGACTATTAAAAGGATTGCTTGTGTGCGCTGGTGTTTATCGGTACTCCAGTCTTTTAAAATAGATGAATGAATGAATGCTTGCGAGGTGCCTGTAACAATATTAAATAGGCTAGGCTATTTAACCCTCTGGGGACCAGAAACGCGCGGGCGCGTTTTGCTCGTTTTTTTTCACATAGCAGAAAAATAGACTTAAAGTACTACCATCATTTCTGTTCATATAGAGTTAAGAAATATGAGAAAATAATCTGTTAAATGTCTACTTTTTTATGTGCCCACATACAATCGAAATAAAATATTGTGCTTTTGTAAAATAAAGAAAATAAACAGGGTGTGCGTTCTGCCTCTCGGTCACCGTGAACTTTTTTTCTGGAGCACGTCTCTAATCTTCAACACAACTCAGCTAAAACTATTCACCCAGCCATAAGCAATATATCTTTTAAATCATTTGAGTTTGTACTTTTAAATGATCCGATTCAAAACTAAAATTATTATTCTCCGTTTATGTCATCTATATAAAAAGAGAGACGTGTCAGCCCGTCTCATTATCGTTCTCTCAGCTGATTATCCCTGGTAATGTGACACGCCCACGGAGAGCACGCGCTATTCAAACGCAAATATGTGAAGCAACACATTGAGACGCGTTAACGCCCATAAACTCTGAAAACACACATTATTTTTTAGTCAGATTAATCTACTGTCGTCTTGCGCGGCTATATGAGGAACAATCCTGGGACACTTACCACTGGATTTATTTTCACTGCGAGGATGAACAGATTCAGCTGAGAAGTAAGTGTGTTATGCAAGTGCTTTGTTCTAATCGCGATATAGAATAACGTAGTGTCTGTAAACGGAAAAATAGCATACTGTTAAATGTGAATCGTGTGTGTGTGTGTGTGAATGAATGAATGAATGAATGAATGAATGAATGAACGCACAGATACGCACTGTTACAGACTAAATAACAGACAACATTTCTCGTTTTGGATAAAGTTTTTACTCTAAAATAGACATCAAATAAGCTTTTTTAGGAGTTTCTGCTCATATGTTAAATATATAGTAGGCCTATGTTTTGTCAATAAACTAATCAACTAAGATGTTATAGTGTTTGTTCAAGCTATATCAAAATAATGAATCCTCAACTTTGAAATATGTATGATCAAACTAAGACATTTATGGAGAAAGACAATTTTCTTTTCAAGATGTTTCCAACTCTAACTTTGAACTGAAATAAAACCATGTCTATATGGTGAAGGGTGTGTGATAGAAGTGTCCAGACGTATGCACCCTGTATTTTCCTTATATAAATCCAAACAATCTAAAAGCCATTCTTTTTTTAAATCTCCTCATTCTTTGTGCAAGGCTCCTGTAATGATATGGCCTGATAGCACCTAATAGGGCCATTATGGGAGGGTCTTTGTCTTTCTCAGGTGTGGAATGCCATACATATTAATGAGAGATCAAGCCTCCTGCATAAAGCTTTCTCAAACAAAACACGTCATTAAAAATGTAAAAGACTTTATTGACTTATCTGAATGAGTAGTCAGGATGATTCTCACATAGTTTTGGAGCAAATATTCTAGGCTATGTGATACAATTTTCAAAAGTCTTGTGAAGAAATAATCAATATGTGTTTTGTGGTCTTATTTCAGCAACTTTTATTTTTATTTTTTTCAATAACCACGCATAAACATTATTCTATTAAAAATACAAAAATGTACATACATGTTGCTCAGATATCATGGATGCCAAGTTTGTGCTATATAGAGTGAATTTACACCTTTGCCATTAACATGTTTATAAATAACTGAAAAAAGCACAAATGTCAGTGCATGTCAAAACATCCCAAGGGCCCCAAAAACACTCTGGTCCCCAGAGGGTTAATCAATAACATACACATTGTAGAGGAGAATGAGTCAACTACTTTGAATATTATAGCATTTTGGGCATAAACATGTAAATGGTGAAAAGAATGACATTGAAAAATGACACAGAATGATTAATGTTGACTGATGTTATTCATCTCTTCTCACACACTTCAGCGTCGCGGTCACTAGTTTAGACGAGCACTGACACCCTGTGCTGAAATAACGGCGGATTTTAACACCCGCTGCTTTCTCAGATCGGCTTGGGTTGGATTAAAACTTCATGTTCCCATAAGTTTGGAAAATTCTGCACACAGTAAACATAAAAAATTGCAGTAAACATAACCGGAAATAAGCGAGACGTACTATTTCCAAGCGGAAGTGCGTCACGAAGCTCAGTGCAAGTGGTCCGTTGTGCTGCATATTGGATTGTACATTTATAAAAAAAAAAATAAAAAAAAAATTCTTGTAATGCACTGAATTTAATGCAAATACTTTGAAAAGAGCTTTTATTTGCAAAACAAAATGAGTGGCATCATCAGTGGACTCATTGGGTGATGTCAAAGACAATTGAGTATTACCCCACAAGAAGAAATGGTGTCTGATGTTATAACTAAACCAGTGACAAGAGTTTAAACTGGAGAAATTACAGAGTTTCATGTTTGGCATGTAAATGCAACACTGTTTTCATGTGTTCTGTTATTATAATGATATACTGTACAGTATGAGAGCAAGTGAGAGTGTTAAGGAGAACTCCGGCGCAAAATGAACCTGTGGTCTAATAAAACATTGGTACCTAGTCAACCGTTCTCTGAGATTTGCTTTCATGATAATCGAATGTAAAGAGTTTTATCTCTAAAAACTGTTTATCGTATAACGCTAGTAATGGGGGCATTTAATAAGTAAAAAGAAATCGCTAGTTTATACCACTAACAAGGCTCAAAATAGCCCCACACGAACACAGTAACATAATGAGGGTCCCTACATGCAAAACGAAGCATTGAGAACTTTGTAAGTGTACAGACCGTTTAATAAGAAGATAAAGATAAAGACAGTCCACTTCGTGTATACAGACAAGAGCCATCTTTGGAAAACAGTCTCGACTAATCAAACCACGAACGACGTGCTAAGTGAGCTGAACTGTATGAATGGCGTTCGTGGTTTGACTAGTCCAGACTGTTTTCCAAAGATGGCTCCTGTCTGTATACACGAAGTGGACTGTCTTTATCTTTATCTTCTTATTAAACGGTCTGTACACTTACAAAGTTCTCAATGCTTCGTTTTGCATGTAGGGACCCTCATTATGTTACTGTGTTCGTGTGGGGCTATTTTGAGCCTTGTTAGTGGTATAAACTAGCGATTTCTTTTTACTTATTATATGCCCCCATTACTAGCGTTATACGCTAAACAGTTTTTAGAGATAAAACTCTTTACATTCGATTATCATGAAAACAAATCTCAGATAACGGTTGACTAGGTACCAATGTTTTATTAGACCAAAGGTTCGTTTTGCGCCGGAGTTTTCCTTTAATGTTTGTAATGGTGTGCGCTCAAACTGCTTACATCTATGTAACCTGCTTTCCACAGATGGAAATAGAAATATGCCAAATAAAAATGTTCCGGATCCGGTCCAACAAAATACAGATGATGTGTGTGTTTTTCCCTTCGTATAGTTTATTAAAATAAATATAATAACAGTTATCCTTCAAGAACATGGCTGCACCAACACTATGGGATAGGGACTTTAAAATGAAGAAAAGAGAAGTTTATTAAGAATGAGAATACAGCTACTTTTTAGAGTTATGGGCACACCAAACTTTAGAAAAATACAATTTATGGCACTCAGACATGAATGTTCAATTGTGTTGATAGAAAAAAAAACTAGATATATTTCTAGTTTTATCATTATATGTTATTCAGAAAATGTGCAGTCATTGAAAATGTGAACTAGTTTACTCATAGAGCCACATTGAGATCACTATATCTCTGGAAATTAATCCTATTGGGCCTTAAAAATTAAGAAACCGAAAGGAAAGTTAATCTGTAATGATATTAAGATGTTTTTACAGGCCATTTTGACCCAAATGACCCAAATGTTTTTATGTCTGAGAACCTTTTATACACATACTTAAAGGCACACTGTGGACTTTCTGGCCACTAGGGTGCGCTCGACCTGTAATTTTCACGTCTAGTGCCCCTAGAGGCCACAGGCGCCGCAGCATTGTCGCAAAAGTCAACAAACAGTCAACCGGTCAACCTCCCGTGTCTTTATGGTGCAGACGGCATTTGATTTGTATGTTGGAGAAAGTTAATCGATTCACTACTGACCAAAATAATAATATAAATATAAGATTAATAATTTAAATCCTATAAAGAAAACAAATTGAATAAAAGTAGCATATGCAGAAAACAATGTCTGATCAGGTAAGTCGCATTGACAAGGGTTGCCCAATCCTGCTCCTGCCGATCGTCTGTCCTGCACAGTTCATCTCCAACCCTAATCAAACACACCTGAGGCCATGCTTAAAAATATTCTTGTTTGCCGTAACCCGACCGACCCTGTCAAATTAGGACCGACCCAATTATTTATTTTTTTCCCCTTTTAGTCCGACCGACTTGCCGGTTGTAAACTTGCATTAAGACCGACCGATTTTTTTTTTACTCTTCAAACAACTAATACAAATGCAATAAAATAATATACATTTATTATAGTAAGTATTGTGAATATAAATTGCGTAGGCTACGTTCTTTCTTTTAAATAAAAAACCCGTGGCGTCATCTATTATGATTATGTTTACACCATTGGTTTACGCATGTCACACTATGGCCTGTGCGTTCGTTTCGTTTCATTCACTGTCAATGGTTCGCGCTCGGTGATGATGGCTGCGGCGCGGCTGCTTGTGAAATACGACTATGAGCCTACATTTAGTCGCTCATTATTCGAAATTCTTAATGGTCAAATAGGGAATCGATATTAACGGCCTTTTCTCGGAGCGCGTCCAGCTCGTCATGACATGCCCACCGCGAACGCGCGTCACACAGCAACTGCAGGCTCTGACAAACAAACACACATAAGTGTGGGAAGCCAAACACACCGAAAGGGGGACGAAACGGCGCGGTGTGTTACAGAGTTCGCGCTGCGCTGACTTGTAATCTGCGTGGCTCAATGGACCGAGACGCGCGAGCGCGACAGACTCGACAGCGCAGGAGAAGTGTTTGCTTGCGCCAGCCAATGGTCAGAGCGGCGCGAATTAATCTCACCAGCGCCGCGCTGACCAATAAAACAGCACATCCCATACCGAAATGTACTAAATTGCACAAAAGAAAATCGACCATTCCATAATATGTCAGGACTACTTAATCGGCCTATAGTTTCCTACAATGCGCCTAGCTATTTGACCACACTGATTTCCGTTAATAATAGCAGATGTTTATGGGTCAAATCTCTCACTCTCTCCCTGCAACTTTTTGTTACCCTCCTTTCCTGCCCCTAGACCAGAAAGGGGGCTTGTAACAGTATGGGTCAAATGTAAACGAATGGTGCCAAACGCACTGTTTTATTGGTCGGCGCGGCGCTGGTGAGATTAGTCATTTTAATTTATTTGTTTCCCTCTGAAAATCCACTTTCATTGAAATCTAGTGGCTCCTTTTTTTCTTTTGATTCTGCCTATTTTTTTCCAAATGAATGCAGCTGGAATTAATGCAATAAATATGTTTTTTTTTTTTACAAAGATTTCAAATTGTTTGTGGTCTATAACCTGTATCAGAATGAGGTTCGCAATGGTGCGCCCGAAGGCATGGGGGTTGAAGACCCAGTCAGTGACGTCACGATATGCAAATTTGTTTAAATTCATACCGACCTAATCACCATGACCAAAATTATCCTTTTTTTTTTACATTGAATCTTGAAAAAAAAATATATAGACCTACCTACCGACCCTTTTTTTTTTTTTTTTTGCTGTTACTGCAAACCAAAATATTTTTAAGGATGGCCTGAAGCAAACAATTAACGTCTTCAGGATCTCTTTGCAATGGGTTGGAGATGAAATCGAGTAGTCGGGAAATCGTGTAACAAAACTGATATAACTCACTACACTAACTTTCCGTTATTTGTAGTCTTCAGTTTGTTTTTCCTTTTACACAAATACAAACATATATGAGCTGAAAGGAAAAAAACATTTACATTTACATTTGTATACGGCAGTATGTTGTGACTTATATCAGTTTTGTTACACGAATTCGCAGTAAATATTACATTATATATACACTTTTATGCCGATGTTTATTTTAAACTCTCCCTTTTTCTTTTTTTGGTCTCCTCTGACAAAATCTTTGCTTTCTTCGCTTTCTTCCGAGTAGCTGTTGATTCAGCCATGACGACAACATACAGACGCCGGTAATCAAACGCGAGTTGAGCTCTCACGTTAGAATTTGAGGAAGTTGGGGTGGTGGGGGAAGTGACGTATGCCGTAAAGCGGTCGAATTTTGTAGTTCTTTTTGTGCTCGGGTTCCTACCCGAAACCCGAAGTTACATAGTGCTGGTAAAAGCGATACAGACACCTTCAGGCTTCGGCAGACATGTCATTCAACCTATTGTAAGTCGATGTACCATCTCAATGGGTTTTGGTAATATATTATAAAGGTTGAAAAGTTCCACAGTGGGCCTTTAACTGTAGACACTGAAATGACGTATGGCGCTTTTCCACTGCATGGTAACGTACGGCTCGGCTCGGTACGGCTCACTTGTGGCGCTTTTCCACTGCATGGTAACGTACGGCTCGGCTCGGTACGGCTCACTTGTGGCGCTTTTCCACTGCATGGTACGGCACGGTACGGCTCGCTTTAAATGGTAGCACCTCTGTCGAGGTTCCAAGCGTACCGTACCGATACTAAAATGTGACGTGAACACACTGCAGATCACTGATTGGTCAGACAGAATCGTCACTACCAGCACCATTGTATTTGCGAGACATCAAACCCGCCAGATTTAAATAGCCAGTAACAGCCACCGCTGTTCTTCACAAAGAACCGGCAAAAGTAATGATTATGAATATGTAAAATATAGCAAGGAGATATTTTAATTGTTTATTAATAAACAAGTGTTTTCTTTGTCGGCTAAGATGAAGTTGACGATGCTGACTCGCGATCTTCAGTAGCCTAGTGAACGCGCAAGAGAGAAATGCACATTTCATAAGGATTAAATAAGCAGAGAGCAGTCTAGTCTGTTTTCTTTCGTTTTGAATTGTTCTGTTTAAAAGTAGACATGTCTGTGAGGCAAGTAGGCTACCTTATATGCTGAGTTTCGGTTCATTTATGTGACGAGCTCCAGTTCACACGCCTGCGCCTCTGTTTCCTATCTATCGTCTGCTATATTTACTACTACTTATTTATTAAATCCAGGCAATTGGTTGATGACACATTGATTAAAATTAAGATACAATTAATACAAAACCAAATTTAGGTTAAAGAAAGGTTTTGTGCTTTCTGTTGGAAGTGAAAGTTTTAAAGCATCTTTTAGTGCCGCTTTCAGAGCGCTCACGTCCGTAACGGAGAACACGCCTGTAACATTGTTTTTTCTCATAAATGCGAACACGAAAAATAAAATAAAATGAATATTTTATGTAGGCTACTGTGGAGACTGAGAGCCAACCCTTCTTCATCCGGTGGGTATTTGGTTTGCGCAGTGTAATTCACATAATCAAAATATATTTTGCCTCCAAGTTTTTGTTTTTTTTAAGGAATCAGAAATCCGAGGGCACTGCTTTAATCCCACCCACTTTGAAGCGGTACTAACTGCAGTGGAAAACCAAACCGAGCTAAAGCGAACCGAGCCGTGCCGTGCTGAGCCGAGTCGTACCACGCAGTGAAAAAGCGCCAATATGCTGTGGTACAGTACAAATATTTTGAGTGTCCCTTATTTCCTTGTCCAGAAGTTGGCAAACGTAGATTTAGAGCCGATTCTTCATCCACGAAACCTTGAAATGACTGAGAATGACAACAAATGCTGCCATCTAGAGTGGGATTGTAAATGCTCACTTTATACAGAAACACTGATTTATCCTGATGATGCGACACAGAATCTGCTTCAAAAGAAGAGGGAGAATGAAAGTAATACAATAATTCACGTCTATTTGTGCTTGTTGAAAATGATCATTTAGAGATCTTCATCTTAATGCTTGCTCTCATGAGTCTTTAGATTAGATAGTTGGGTGAAACTCTTTCCACATAAAGAGCACTTGTACGGTTTCTCTCCAGTATGAACTCTCTCATGATCTGCACAGGATGATAAATAAGCGAAACTCTTTCCACAGTGTGAACACTCATAAGGTTTCTCTCCAGTATGAACTCGCTCATGTGTTTTCAGGTTTCCTGACAGAGCAAAACTCTTTCCACAGTGTGAACACTTGTACGGTTTCTCTCCAGTATGAACTCTCTGGTGTTTTTTTAAGTCACTCGATGTAATAAAGGTCTTCCCACAGTCAGAGCACACATGAGGTCTCACACCAGTATGAATACTCTCATGATCTTTTAAACTTTGCAATAGTGAAAAACTCTTTCCACAAAAAGAGCAAAAGTGAGGCTTCACATCAGCATGAGTTTTAATGTGTGTTCTTAAGCCTGATCCAAAAACAAATGTTTTATCACACTGATCACAGCTGAATGATCTCACTCCAGAGTGAGAGAGAAGATGATCGTTCAGAACTCTTTTTGTTGTGAAACTCTTTCCACACTGAGAGCATGTGAACGGTCTTTCTCCAGTGTGAATTCTCATGTGCTGATTTAGGTTTCCTTTACGTATGAAACTCTTTCCACACTCAGAGCAGGTGAAAGATCCATTGACTCCAGTTTGCTTCTGTGTGAAATTCTTTTCAGTCTGTGGAGTTATGTTTTCATCTTTATTTGTGAAATGCTGTTTGTCTTCATTCACTTCCATCGGGTCTAAAAACAACATTAAATTTGAATTGCTCACGGACGGACAAATTAAAAACAAAATCAGAAAGCACAAATGAGCAAAATCCAGTTTACTACGGAGTCTACAAGTAACTAGCAGGGTTGCCAACTCTCACGCATCTGGCGTGACACTCACGCTTTCAGCATCAATCTCACGCACACGCAAGAAATGTCACGCCAAAATCCATTTTTCTCCCCTCTCAATCCGTTAATTTTTTGTTAATGACTAGACCACAGCGTATTAATGACATGAGAGGAGTTTAAGGCCCGCAGCTGTAACATCTGCCTACAACATCGTTCTCACGGCAGTATTCTCTGATCGTTGATTCGCTGAAAACCTTGCACCTGACGTCAGTTGCGTGTGAAAAGTTCAGAGAGAGTTCAGAGCATAGGTTCGGAGTCGGAGAACACTGATGCACGTTTGAAAGTTTGGATGACAATCAAGGTAAGCAGATAATAAAATGGTGTGCCTTGTTACTATAGTGTCGTAGCCTTGCCTTATCAGTCTGAGTACAGACTTCAAAGTTGCAAATGTTGTCTGACGTGCGTTATGTGGGCTTGCTAATTGCTCCATAAAAATAGGCTCATGGTACAAATTAGGTTTTGGCAAATCGGGCGAGTGGCATTTTAAAATTCCCCAAATTATCAAAGGTTGTCCAGATTGTGTTGAGCCTGCCACACTCACATGCGGATGCTGAGCGAACCTTTTCAGTTATTGGCCTAAACAAGACTGACCCCACAGACTGTCACTTGATGGCACCCTGTGATGGGAAGTTCGGATCATTTTACTGACTCGCTTGTTCGATCTCGTTCATATAAATGAACGAATCTTTTTTTTGAGTCATTTCGTTCATTTAAAAGGGCTTTAAATGTTATACTTTTAACAGCTAAATTCCCCGAACACATCCACCTACGCAGTCTTTATCATATTCTGAATTAAGAAATCATTATAATCCAGTCAAAAATAATTTACAGGGAACATAAATAATTACTTTACCTTCCGAGTCTTTTGTTCATTTGTCACGTGACAGACGCAATGAACGGATTGTTCATGAACGGATCGAACCCTGCTTCAGATACAGAGCTCTTGCAGAGGCAGTGATCAGGACAAACTGACACTGTGGCGTATATAACAGGCCTAATTTGTGAGACTTGTGTGTTGTGGTTTTCTGGGGAGGTGGAGTAACTATTATGTGTCCCTTTTGTTTTGAGACTTCTTATTGTTTAGATGTTGTTGTTTTACATGTTTGTTATTTGTTATTTAATCACCTCTATCTTTATTTTTTTATTGTGCAATCATTAAATTAATTGTACATTTTGAAAAAAAAAAACCGTTTCCATTCTATTTTTTTTTTGTTGTTGTTGTTGTTGCATAAATCAGGGTTTATACTAAGTAAACAAGGACTGACATTTTTACAATTAGGGTTAGGGTTACCAAAAAATTTCTCCGCGCGCACTGAAATTTTACAGTCTCACTCCAGTCAAAGTCCCAAAGTTGGCAACCCTGAACTAGTTTTATACGTATTGTTATGTCAGTTTTAGTCATTAAAGAGAATGAAGGAAAACACCAACCTATTTGTTCCTCTGTTTCTTCATCTTTTATTCTGCAGGGTTCTTCCTCAATCTCCATCTTTACAATAGTTTCTCCTGGAGTAATTCCTCCTGCTTGCTTCTTCTTCTCCTGTGGGAAGATGGGAATATTCCCCAGCATTTAAACTCTCATGAACGGCTGTGGGAGCTTCACTGACTGAAGGAGTGAATTGTGGTCGTTGTTGCTCATTTAGCAGATGATCATCACACTTACAATCACTCGAGATTATCCAGCTTTAAGTGTTTTGATCAAACAACTGTTTAGAAACAATTCACTTACATAAAATATGAATACATGCATTAAATATTTTACATGTATTTGTTCATTAAATAAAATGAAAACAACTTATAATCTTCACAAATTGTAATGTAAAAAAACATCCAGTAAAGAGTTTATGTTTCACGAGCGTAATGAACAACATCAGTCGGTTCATTTGTGAGTGATTCACTAAATTAACTGACTCGTTTGGATTTAGATTTCTCCTAATAAATAATAAAATGAATGTACTCACAGTCTGAAAACAGCAGATTTAGAGCAGAATGAACGGCTGTGTTCCACTTCTCATGTTTATGTTCCCTTCCCTCGCTCACTTCTCTTCTTCTCCTAGACTCGGATGTGTGTCATTGCTTCGGTTGCTCGAGCGCCTCTACTGGGGGAAACCAAGCCCTATTAAACTATCGAGTGCGGTGTTGTGACTGAAATAGTGCGCAAAACGGTTTTGTAAAATGATATATGATAAAATAAAAATGATTAATATATATTTTACAAAACGGTTCTGCGTATTTTCTCCCGCGCGCACTATTTCGGTCACAACACAGCAATCAGAGGAGGACGGTGGCGCTTTCTCTCTTGCGTGCTCTTATTTATGACAAACTAATAATGGTAACAAACTAATAATGACTCAAGTGTTACTACATACTTCTATGGGAATTACTAATTATTTGGATCCGTATTCTAAAGTGAAGATCATGGGAACTAACTAGAAGTGATACTTAATACTTCTAAAGAAATTTTCTAAAAGTATCCACCTTATTCTGCTCTAAACAATGCGCGCCGCCATGACGACGACTCCGGTTGCCTACTGCCGTTCGTAAGTTACTGTATAAAAGCCCCGTTCACACCGCCAGCGATTTTGTCGCTACATGTCGCTAGTCTCTGTACTGTGAAGTCGCTTGTGGGCGTTCGTAGTGCTGTCGCTCTAATGTTATTGGTTGACTGCACGCCTGGCCATATCTATACAAAATACCACCAGTCAGAAGTGATATATATACAACAATATCATTTTAATTTGACTAGGAATTAGGCTCAAAAGAAACAGTATGCTGTTGGGAGAGTGTTTTTATATTACCACAGCAGTGTTCAGTGGATTAAATCATTTACAAGATTAACGATCAATGAATCAACAAATTAAACTCACTCATTCCGTCATAAATGACTAAAACGTCATTCGAATTTGACAAATAATCAATTTTCTTGTCCCTAATAGTTAACATAATGCAGGGGAAACTGTAAAACGAACTGCAGCAGTGCTAAACTTGCATCACAAAATTACAACACTCGAACTTTAAATGTATGAATTAAACTCACTGAGACTGTCGACAGTTTCTTTTCCATGCCTCATTTTATTATATCCATGTATGTGGTTACAGTCAAATCATATAAACAGTGAAATCTCCCTCGAACTCCTCTGTCTTGCCTGCACTCGAGACGGTGACGTGAGCTCCACTGAAAGTCTACTTTCCTATTGGTTGTCGCTCGCGAAAATCGCTTCACATTTGCATAAAGTTGAAATTTCTCAACTTTTGTCGCTTGTCTCTTGTCGCTTGACACGCCCACATTCTGTCGCCAACGGTCGCTGTCGCTCGTGTCGCCGGATGTCGCCAGCGCTCCATTGAAATGAATGGGATCATGTCGCTTTGTCGCTGCGTGTCGCTGGCGGTGTGAACGGGGCTTTAGCAGTGATAGAATGAGTTCAGGCTCTACGTGCTGTTGTTGGTTTTTTTAACAATTAAAAGAAGATAAAAAAAAACTTTTTAGAAACTGGGTGCTTTGAGCATAAGATAAAAAGGAGAGAATGCCCATGTCCGGTTCGTATTCAATGCTAGAGAGTAGACGTTTTTGGTTAGCTACGCTAAAACTGAAGCATAGGAAAAAGGTGTATGTCTCTCCGCAGAGTCCGCACCATTTTGTTAACAAACCCCTATACGTTAACAGTAGGGATGGGCATTTCAAGCAAAAATAATAATCGAAGATCGCTGGGTATTATTCAATTATTATTTGAAAATCGCACCCCTCCATCACATCACGCACACATGCATATAGGCTAAGCTACACACGAGCACATGAGCAAAGCGGAGCAGTGATGCTTAAATATAAGTTTTAAAAAAACTAAACATACGTTTTATATGTAAGTTTCACAATATAATGTTTTTTATTTTTTATTTCATCTATGTTGATTATATGAAAAGGGAACCGCATGGGATGAGTCAGATATGATCATAATGCCCAATATATCGGAAAACATTTGGAATGGCTCAGACAGACATGATTTGACCACTTATTAAGTTTTGTTTTGTAGAAAGCCTTTCAATAAAGTGAATTTCGTTTAGTATAAATTGTATCTTCATTTTAATCAATGTTTTATCAACAAATTGCTTGGAATACTAATAAATAAGCAGCAAATATATACAGGACACGGAGCCGCGGCCGCGTGAACTGGAGCGCGTCTTATTAATCAACGAAACTCAGCGCAGGCTATAAGTTACTTGCCTCACATACATGAGAAGTATATCTACAGAAAGCTTGAAATATGTACTTTTAAACAAAATAATTAAAAACGAGCAAAAATGGGCTGCTCTCTGCTTATGTATAGGGTAATTCGTATGAAGTGTGCATTTCTCTCTATAGGCGCGTTCTCTACTTCGAACATGGCGAGTCAGCATCAAATTTATCTTTGCAGTCGACACTTACAGAAAACACTAGTTTATTAATAAACAATTCAAATGTTTCATGCATAATCATTACTTTTGCCGTTTTTTTGTGGCAAGCTTTATGCGTGCGTTGTGATACAGAATAGTCAATATATTACGAAAACGCCCATTATGGTTTAGCATTCTCTCCCATATAGTATATAACTTCCAACCCAACTTCAGTCGTGCACGGGCAGGGGCAGCCCTACTTATTTAACATATTTTCTAACCAGCACATTACTGCGGCGTTCTGAGCGAGCGGCGCCTAATCTTCATAAAGCTTCGAACTGGAAAAGGACAACCGGCTTCCGGTTCAAACCCGCTATGAATCATGGGTAAATTCGCTAACCAGGAAAAAGGTGGATACTATTTAAAAGTTCACCAAAAATCTCTAACGCTTGAAATGACTTTTGTGCTTGGTTGCACAA